CTTGATGATAATGATTTGATAGCTTTTGGATTGGCATATGAAGTAGGTTGTGGGCACCCTCTTCACGCATCACCAGAAATGTGTGATTGTAGACACACAAGCATCAGGGAACAATAGAAAGATAATTGCTTTTATTGGAGGACTTGATCTATGTGATGGTCGATATGATACCCCTCAACACACACTCTTCAAAGGTTTAGACACTACATACCAGGGTGATTACCACAATCCCACATTTTCAGTATGTTTTTATTTTTCCATCTTGCTAAAAAAACTAATGTCTTTATAGTAAAAATTAATGAAAATCTCCAAATAAATTTGTTTTCGTCTCTGTCTACCTTGAAGGGAGGAACCAAAGCACCTAGGCAACCATGGCATGACCTTCATTGCAAAGTAGAAGGACCGGCGGCTTATGATATCCTAACAAACTTTGAACAACGTTGGAAAAAGGCCACAAAGTGGTCTGAGATTGGAAAGAAATTTAAGAAGGTAACTCGTTGGCATGATGATGCTCTAATAAAATTAGAACGAATCTCATGGATTTTAAGTCCGTCTGCGACAATTTCAACAAATAACACTTCCTTATGGGTCTCCGAGGTAGAAGATAAGCAAAACTGGCATGTTCAGGTAAAGATTTTTCCATTTTTTCCCTCAAATGATTGTTGCTACCTTTCTTGTAAAACAATGTTATAACCGCGTATGACTTACACTAGCAACATGTTCTCTTGTGGATTTATTTTGACATAATCTTAAATCCCTTGTTTTTATTGATTACAGATTTTTAGGTCAATTGATTCAGGATCATTAAAAGGGTTTCCAAAGGATGTTCATGAAGCTCATTCTCAGGTCTTACTTTTCGATAATCTCTCAATGTTATTATCCTCTTATTATGTATTTATCAATGTATTCACATCCTTTCCTTCTTTTTGCATTTTCCCATATTAGAATCTTGTATGTGCCAAGAATCTTGTAATCGATAAGAGTATACAAACAGCATACATACAAGCAATCAGATCAGCACAACACTTTATATATATTGAGAATCAATACTTTATCGGATCATCATTTGCATGGCCGAATTACAAAGAAGCAGGTCATTTTACACACTTGACTTAGTCCGGTTGCTTAATATAACTTATTCAGTTATCTTTATTATAATGTGACTTTCTTTGTTATATGTTTGTCTAGGTGCCGATAATCTGGTTCCCATGGAACTTGCACTGAAGATTGCCAGCAAGATAAGAGCAAACGAAAGATTCGCGGTGTACATTGTGATCCCAATGTGGCCTGAAGGAGTTCCTTCTTCTGCACCTGTACAAGAAATTCTCTACTGGCAGGTACTCAAACAATTTTCTCTCTTTTTAGTAACGATACCATGTTTTCTATATGGATATTTTAATACTCCCACCGATCCATTTTTTAAGTTTTTTTTGTTAAAAGTGCGGAGATTAAGAAACTATAAAAAAAAAATTACTTTAAAAACATGATTTAATTCCTTGTTACAAACTATTCAACT